CCTCTATAATGGAAATAAAACAATGTAAATTTTACAGCAGAACATTGAGAAAGTTTAATATTCAAAATGTGTCTAGCCAGAGTAGCATCGGCAGTTAAATAAATTACAGTATCCACTGAGATGCCTTTTATCAGGATGAGGGTTCTACTGGGAGATGGTACTCTTTACATTTGATAAAGATGCAGAGCTGGGTGTAATCTACTTACTGATGGAACTTTATGCCATATTCTCACCAGCTCTCCCAATGGTTTCAGAGATGTTAAGATGAGGAGAGGACTGAACCTGGTGAAGTGAGAGTGTTTGAGGTGGAGAATCAGTTGCCCAAAGCAACTCTCGGGGTTTTCAGTGAAAGAAAAGACCTGAAATTTTTCAGGGTGTTTCTTTTCAATCTCTTGGAGGTAAAACAGGATTGTATAAAAGGTGACAAGTCCATTAGGAGGATTACTGATGTACTCTAGCCTGCAGACAGGGCAGCTGCCAGAGCCAAGTGCTGTCTATAGCCCTGACTGAAAGGGGCCAGAAGGCTGACAAGCTGGGACTGAAGCCTGTCTTTCCAGCTTCTCAAATAGCTAACAGTTATAAAATAGTTAATAATGGTTTCTTCAGTACTGCTTGGAGAATGGCAGGTTTGAGGATGGGTGATAGTCTCTTGGAGGAGGGGAGTCTTATCAGGCCCTTACTGAACCCAGAGGCAGATTTACCATGAAACCAACAGTGCGGTGACAGGAGTACCCCCAAAATGCAGGACAAATCTCATCTGACAACCTGCCCCCGAGACTTGGCCAGCAGCACAGAGGGCTTAGCGGCTGTGGCCCAACAGCATGCCCAGAAGTAGCTGGCTGATCTCTGTGTGCCCCTGGCAGGGGAGAGGCAGATCCACGTGCTGTCCCTGCCCCAGGCAGCACATGAAGACCTGCTGCCCCCATTCCCCCAAGGGGTGTGCAGAGACATGCCAGCAGCAGTACCAAGGCTGACCCTGACCAGGCCACCTCCTGGGAGGGGTGGGGGGGGGAGAAGGGGAAAGAAGAGAATGTCTCCACGTTGCCCCCCGACCAGAGTGCTGACTCTGCAGCTCCCATTGGCCAGGAACTGCAGCCAATGCGAGCTGTGGGGGCGGTGCCTGCAGGCAGCAGCACAGAGACCCCCTCTCCTCCCCTGGGAGTGTGGGGGTGTGTGCGCGCGCGCGCTGGTCGCTCTGGGAGCCGTGCTGCCCAGCTGACCCAGCCTAGAGCCTGCACCCCTTGCCCTCTCCCACACCTCAACCCTTCGCCCAGCCGAGCCTGAACCATGCTCCCCAACTCCCTGCCCCAATCAAAGTACTTCACTTTATTTTCATTTACTTCCTATTTTTATAGAAGGATGAAGAAAAAAAATGAAAAATTGTGGCAGGAGGAGGAGAGAGTGAGTTTGTTTTTTCTTGGCTGGGGTGTGAAAATAAAGCTGTGCACAAAATCTGCCACTGACTGAACCAGTGGAATCCCAGTTTCTTCCACCCAGGTACTCCTGTCAAGCACTTGTTTTTTCACTGTGTTGCACTGCTGGACTCCTAAGCAGACTAGGTGCAACAGCACCCCCTAGTGGTCTTGCACAAATCAAGGAAAATAATCCAGCTCTGGGGTTCCCCAACTGTGCGTAGGCCACAGGCACAACTCCAATCAAATCTAACTCCAACTGATTTATCTAATCTAAGTAAAAGATGTATAACTTGAGCTGTATATGCTGGAGTATAGAAAATTGAAAATGGCTTGTTTCTCACAAGTACAATGGTGTGTTTCACTTCAAGATAACCTAGCACAACATACACAGTCCACCATTTACAACAGTATAAAATGACCCATACTATTTTAATCTGACATGGATATTTATTTTTCAAAAAAAAAAGTGGTGAAGATATTTACTAGATCAGATGAGTACCCACAGCCTTAGTGTTATTAGAAAATCAAATACTGTAAATAAAAATTAGAGAATAGAGGTGTCTTTACTTACATAGCATTCATATTTTACATTAAAAATTGAAAAAAGTATTCAAAGTTGAATGATTGTTTTAAAATCAATGCATGTTGAACAACATTGTGTTTATACATTGTACATTATATATAGTGTTCTCCCTCTTTGAATACATTTTGCTCTCAACTTTAAAAAAGTTTTAGAACCATCTTGTTTCAAAGATCTTGAATTTGAGTGAATAGTGGTAGGGATTTCTATTACAACTGTTTACATTAAAATGAAAAGGAAATGTACATTGTTTAGTTTATATGTAATTTTCCTGCAGTAGGGGAGCCTTGATCTAGCTGATGGGAACAAAAAACCCTCCCAAGCTGCAAAGTTTTGAATGTGCATCATCCCCTCAATCAGTTGGTTTTTAAAAGTGCAACTGTGTGTATATGTAAAACTTCAATGGCAGTTAAAACTACCTCATCCCTACCTTATACTAAGTGTTACATCCCAACATTATCAAAATGACCAGGTGAGGGATTTACAATAGAGGCCGTGATGAGCTTCATGGTCCACAGAGAAAGGGACAAATTCTCGCTTTCAGCTCTGGTTTGATTTACCACAAAGGCAATGGAGCTTTCTGAACTAGTTTCATACCAGACATTGTGCTGTAGCAGAATTGTGGTGGCATTTTAGAGACAGTCCACTATGTCAATGTGGGGATCCACAAACCATGATCATATTGTTGAGGATGGCAAAATGACAACTTCCTGGAGGTCTTCATACCTTGAACATTGTTGATAACACCGATGCTTGGCTTGACAGAATTCCATACATCAAATCATCATGCACTGCAACCTCACAAGCCTGGTGGCTCTAGTGCATAATCCATTCTAAACAAAGACACTCATTGGTTTATCAGAGCACCTAAAATCAGCAGCAGCGCAGCTCCATATAAACAGCTTTACAGCCACTAGACAAGAACTATGCATAGACTTGTCTGTACTCTTGCTAAAATGGTTGTATGTGAAATTAAACAGCTGGTGGGGTCACCTGCTTCAAAGTTGATCTTCAGCCCTTTCAGATTCACTCAAAACATCCTTCCATTCCCACCACCACCCCTCCCCAACAGTATTATGCTTAAGATACAACACAGCTTGGATCAATGCCCCCACAGTGAGAAAATTGAATGCTACTTAAGTTAAAACCTGCACTTGTTTCAGGAGCATTTCTCACTGTTGGGCATGTAGATGTATAACAAAGGGGCACAAGCTCTTCCCAGTTTGTGTGTTTAGATACAATTTTCAGCTCTCCTTAGCATCAGGTCTTAAATATCTAACTCCCAGCACAATTTTAATATGCAATTGATGAGATTCATGGATGCATTCAGGAAGTGGTCTGAGGTGGTAGTTTGTGCAACATGCATGGATATATCCCCTTTACTGCTATCATCCATTATTTGTGATTAAGGAGTTACACCTATATGATGGGAGACAAATGCACACCAGCTTATTTTTGTATCACTTCAGCTTTCCATCTGTCTGGGATTCAACAGCCCCCATCCTACCAGCTATGGAGTTTAGACGCTATGGCCAGTTAAATGTGAATATAGGCTTTTAGTACTGACAGCCAGTGAACTTCTGTCTTTAGATTATTTGAGTCAAACTAAGGAGTAGAGACAATCAACCTGGTTACTTCCACTATTAATTCATGGCTCACCAGCCCTGTAAATTGCCTCTTGAAATTATTCAACTTAGCAGGAAATGGCTTCTCTATATTGCTTGTTTTACAGATCCATTAGTCACTCACACCAGCCTAAAGGAAAATCAAATCAGTGCCCAAACATACATTTACTTGTTGGCTAGTATTTTATCATAGCCAGTTGCCTGTAATGGAACCAAAGCCAATTAACGTGATTGAACTTCCCCCTTCGTCCTTCTGAAGTACTCTGACTTCTCTATTTCCTTTCACAGCTGCATTTTTTGACTATGTATAACAAGCTACCGGTTATGAGACTTCCTGTACTGTGGGTCTCTGCTTCATGATGATCTATAGAGCGATCAGAAAGGGAAACTTGAGCTGACAGTTGCTGGAGATCTTAAGTGAGGGGCCTGGAAGCAAGTCTTTACTCTTCCCCAAACTGTTGTCTTGGAAGGTCTGAAGACCCTTAATATCACCCTAGGAGTGGATTGGGGCAACTGCTTTCTATGGAGTTCTTCTGTCCCTCTTCCCCTTTGGGGAAAGGGGGTCTCATGGTCTGGCTTCTCTTGCCATGAAGGATCTGGGAGCACTTCAGGCCTCAAGATTTCTTTATACTCCCTGGCTTTCCCTTGAGTGGCTCCTATTGTGCTCTTGGCAAAACTCTACAGATGGCAGCTCAGGCCTGAAGCAGTTCTGCAGGTCATGCTGCAAGTCCACACACACATTCCCAAATTGAAGATGAAGATTGCTCATGGGATAGAAACTCTAAATATGCATTTTATAATAGTCAATTTGCATTAAGTATTCCCTGTAAGGCAGTGAAGTTCTCATAGGAAGTTACCCTAAATGTATACAAAATAAATTTGTGAGGATGATTCCTCAAGTGGAAGATCTCAATTGCTGCCTTTTAAAGTGGACTTAGTGTCTGAAACATCTCCATAATTTCTGGGCACCTTTCCAACAGTATGTTTTAAACCTACGGTACCAACAGTCCAAAATGCCTATCAATCACTAACTATAGATAAAGAGTCTTCAGTCCCACCATAAAACAGGTGATCTAGATGTAGAAGACCTCATCCTCTAACATGTCAAGGGAGTAGCTATTTGAACATCAGTTATGTACAACCTTCCCCATGCACGAATACTTTTCTGATCAGAACAAGCTCTATGAAGCATTTGTTTCTGAAAAGCACAAATAAGACTTTACAAAGTGAAAATTATAGGTTACATCTTGGGCTTCCCAAATCTTGGCAAGTGCCCCATCAAGTTTGCTTATGTCTAAAGAAACTAACTGGAAAGTAAATTGAGATTTCAGAAAACACCAATATAAATATACCAGAAAGGAGGACCAGAAGAGCAAGGTGTAAGAAACAGATCTTTTATTTACTTCTCTTTCATTGTACTTGTATTGAAGTTAAGACCATTCAGTGGCAGTCCCAACCCACTCAGTGGCCTGTGCTGTGGGAGCTGCAGACCAGTCTTCAGTGGCAGGCTGGGCACTCCAATCTTCTGAAATAATAAAGTGACTATCAGGAACTTCTACAGCAATTGTACTCACGTCCTATGCACCTATTAACTAGTTTCACATGCATATCTAATCATGCATTTGAATAGGCAAGAACACTTATGGAAACAAAAGTGTGGTCGACTGTTCGTGTATCCCATTGGAAAACAATTTGTGACCATTAAGAAGCACCAATCTAAAGGTTAAGGGCTTGTCTACACCATGCAGCCTTTAGTGACAAGGCTGTGTCGACACAGCCTTGTCGCTAAGAGTCAGTATGCATGAATGCTCTTTTGCAGTATTTTGTCGGCACTTTTGCCGACAAAATACGTCCAGCCCCATGAGCAGCATAAGCTGTCGGCAGGAGAGCGCTCCTGCTGACAAAGTCGCGTTCACACTGCTGCTTGCATTGGCAAAACTTGTGTCTTTTGTGGGGGGCTTTAAGTACCCGCGAAAGACAAAAGTTTCGGCAACAACGGTGCAGTGTAGACATACCTTTAGGCTCTTAAGACAGGGAAATCTATACAAATTTCCTAGATGAATACAAAAAATACTTCCCCAATACTCAGCCATGCTAACCAGAGGACATCTGCAGGAAATGTTTGGCAAATACTATGGAACTGCACTCTAATGAAAATCTGAGGAAATTCACTCAATGCACATGAAAGCTAGTCACAGCTCTATGTGCATCTCCAAAGTTTCATACCGTTGACTATCACCAAGTCAGGTCTTTAAAAAAAATCCCCCCCATAAGAGCTTCTATATCTGCCATCAGTTTTTCCTTCCAACATTTCTGAAAAACTCACCAGTTGGGAATGGCTGGATTGGCACAGATGGTACCTGCACCCCCTCAGACCAATCTGCCACCTCAGGCTGAGGGGCAGGAGCAGCAGCAGCAGCAGTGAATTCAGGTGCTGGGGCTGTCCATTCTCCCTGGAACTCCTCCTTGGTAACTGCCTTCTCAGCTGCAGCCTGCTCCTCCTTTTCAATCTACCAGATACAAGATGGTGAGAATCTCGGAGGGAGTACATTCCTACATTAGCCAACTAGCACTGATTGAAGACAATTTAAAATTGAGGTTAAAGTGAGGTTCTAACTATTTTAGTGACTGTATTACAGATGAAACTGCCCTCAAGTGACCCGCAAGGTTGTTTCCATATCCTCCCCTACATGCACACTCCCAACCCAATCCAGAAGTTTTTACCTCCTCAGGATCTCTGTAGAAGTAGAGGTCAGGCATGACCTCCCATGGGTGTTCACGGGAGATGGTGCCACGCATACGCAGGACCTCACGGGCAAGCATCCACCACATCAGACCCACTGAATGGGCCCCCTGAAACACAAACTGGTGTCTAACCTTTGGTTCAAAACCAGTCCTTTAAAAAAGATATATACATAGCTGAAATCTATAAAAGAAGAGCACAAAATGTACACACCAAGTCCAAACCTCTTAAAAGCACAAGCTCTTGGAACGGACTAATGCTTGTTTTCCCCCTCAAACCCTTCCTGAGGGTCCTTCAAAGATAAAGGCAACTCTTTTGGGCACTGCTCACTTTTCAGATCAACAGTGAAAAGACCACATGAATGTAGAAACAAACAGTTGTACAATTTAAGGCAGACATTAGTATGGATCAATCACTAACACCTGGGTGTACTGTACATGGCTCAGTGAGTGTGTCATCCTTGTGTCAGACCCCACAGGCACCCCATAAGCATCAAGATTTTAAGAATACAGATATGAGTAGTATGTTTATGGGGTAACTGAACTGACATAGCTAGGAAAGTCTGACCAAATAGACAATTTACAGCATATTCTGAATATGTTCAAGTTTTGACTTGGGTATGAACAAATTTCAGAGGTAAGGGTCTAAGCAACATCCTAGACTCCTGCCCCCTTAAGCCTCACCAGTGGGGTAGCTCCAGAGAAGTGCAGATGTATTCCAGAGCAATTTCATCAGCTGGAAGACTCATCTTGGTGCTGCACTTTTCTCTCACATTTCAGAAATGTTGCAAGAATCACTATCAAACTCCACTCATTGGACCACAAAGGCCCTTGTGGCGTTAGCGAAAAATCCTGCCATGGTTACTGTAGCACACGTCCTACACTCGAGAGTTCATTGGCCAGAAACTGACCTCAGCTCCAAGCTCTAACAGTGTGCAGTTCAATCCCTCCTTCACACCATCTCTCCTCCCACACCATGCCAAAGGCTTTAACTGGTTGTTACCAAATTAGATATGCCAATACTTTCTAGCCCTTCTCTGCAGAAAGGGTTTTGAAAGAGTGCATACTAAGGTTTCCATACCATGGATCTAGAGTGAGTGCCAAAGGGAGAAGCACTGAATACTAGAGCAATTACCTTATTATTGCATGGAATAGCAATATCCACATAGCGCAGTGGGGAGTCTGTGTTGCACAGAGCAATGGTTGGGATGTTAACGTAAGATGCCTCAGTCAATGGCTGATGATCAGCCCGGGGATCTGTAACCACCAAAAGGCGCGGCTCACGGAAGGCAGCCTGGATCTGATTTGTGAAGGTACCAGGGGTGAAACGTCCAGCAATTGGTGTAGAGCCGGTGGCAGCAGCAAACTTCAGAACAGCACGCTATCAGGGGAGTACAAACAAAACCAGGGTTAGACAGCTGGATCAACAATCTCTCTATCATGGTACTGTGGCAATCAAAGGATATGTATTTTTGAATCATCCTCTATTTTAATTTCTATTATCGGACTGAACTCCTCTGGCAACTCAGCTCTGGCATGAAACAGAATGGAACTGTAGTCACATTCACAATTATTCCCAGCTCCGCAAGACTGAAATGGAGTAAAGCCCCATCTGTCAGCGAAATAAGCAGCCAGCCCAGGACTGTGGAAAACATGGGACTACTTCCTAATGCTAACCATATGCGACTCCTCAGAGGCCTTAACTCTACTTAAAAAAAAATCTTCTCTTAAATGTCACTAATAATCTAGCTTTACCATTTACCTAGCCTCTGTATTTACACTGATCCTCTTGCAACAAATACAGGGTGAGGGTGGAAGGAAATGGAAGAAAGAGCAAAATATTTCTCCCCAAATTTCTACAGTATTTCAACTTCCCATATCTGGCTGCAGCAAAACTTTAATCACAGGTGAAAAAACAGTTAAATTTACCTGTGTCAATGTCTCAGGAATATACCACCAAATCGAATTTATTGAAACATTCTTTAAGCCCATCAGATCTCTCAGTTAGGCTGGCATGTGGCAGTGATTGCCATCAAACTCCAGTCATGGAGAGACCATCTTCTGGTCTTAGCAAACATCCTGCCATGCTGCTCCACTGTAGCACACTTTTGGCACTGGAGAGGTCATTGGCAAGAAACTAGAGTCAGCTCCAAGTTTTAACAGGTTGCAGGTGAAGTATACAACAAAATCCATTCATAACCTGAAGGCCTTCTGCTTACATCTTAGACCTATACAAGACCTACCTATCATGGCACTATGAATTTGAACCCACAACTTTGGCCCATCTCTACCAGTGCAGAGAGGCAAAAGCCAACAGTGGCTAGGCTGGCCTTAATTTGAAGGGTAAATTCCCTGCTGTATCATCACTGCTTTTATGGCAGCATCTCTAGATTTGGAGAATGAAAGTAGGTCCTATAAAGAGCTTATTATTAAAATAAAACGTGAAAGCATTGCAATGCAGGAAACCCAGACACCATCTCATTCAGCAACAACCCCTACCAAGGTGCAATGTTGACCGATTCCCAAGTGATTTGGGAAAAGTGACAGCTGCAATACCAGGCCTCCAAAAGGGATGTATAATGCAGGAGCAGGTTTTCCCCCAAGATTACAAGAAGTGAAGAAAGAAGAAATGTGCACAATTAGAATGCATGAGAACCCATCTAAAACAAGTGATTTAGTCACTAATCTGTAGTTACCATCACCTAGCCCCTCACATCCAAGACACTTGCTCTAAAGGAACAGAACAGCACACTATGAACTATTCAACTTGTATCTGCAGAACATACAGCTCTGAAGCTTCTGTCTGTGTGTGAAATTTGCTGAAAATGGACACTCACATACTTCCCAAGCCCCAAATGCAAAGAGTCTATGCCCAAAATAAGCATTAGATTTCGGGTCACCTGCTTCCATTTACCTAGTGTCACAGCCCTGCATGCAACATATGCTCAGTGAGCATGACCCTACAAAAGCAGGCTTTGCGCCCCAGGAATAAGGTCCATACCTGTCCAGTATTTCTGGAAGAGATGACGCTCACATCAGCTGGGTTTTCAATGGCAACGATGGCACGGGCTGCTAATAGGAGCTTCTCCCAAGTCCTCTTCAGATTGATTATGTAAATACCTAACGTTAACATCAGCATCCACAATCAATAACCAACAAGTATAAGCTCTCATTGGAGCTGCACTTTTGTGTAACTAGATTGTCATGTGGCAGCGATTACTATCAAACCCCAGTCACGGAGGGAACACCTCTCCTGGTGTTAGCGAATATCCTGCCATGCAATTCACTGTAGCACACTTCCGACACTCAAGAGGTCATTGGTCAGAAACTGGCCTAATCTCTGAGCTTTAACAGTGTGCAGTTCAGACTTATAACGAGGAAAATAAAACAATGAATCACCACATATGCACAAAGCAATTGTGTTATTCAAACCCAGAGCTGTAGAAATGTTCTGAATTTCAGTTCCGTCATTGATTTAACAATTTGACAAAGAAAGCATTTTTGGATCAACACTATAGCTGGGGCAAAGATTGACAAAAAACTCAGAAGTTTTGATTTTCAAAAACCAGTTCCAAATTTAAAAATCCTACACAACACCCCCCCCCCCCCCCCCCCCC